ACAGACAACGTCTCGTCAATATGCGTTTTCTGCATTGCATAGTTGCAAAAAAAGGCATGAAAACAAATGAGTATACGATGCTGATTTTGAAATGTAAAATTTCATAAAAAAAAAAAAATTTGAAGTACCGGACTTTCCTTGGCCTTTCAATCGCAAATCGTACCTCCTGGCATATCCAATCGGAAATAATAGCTCCGATGAGCAGTGTATTGCCACCGATTCCTCTTCTGACTTATCGCCTTCAAAGCTAAGCTAAACAAGGCCCAAATTTTATACAAACGAAACTAACTGCGCATATGAGTGATTTGGGTAATGAGTTTATGCAAATACATTTTGCATATGGGCAAATGGTCTAAAGCAATCGATAAGCAATTCTCCATGCATGTGACGACATGAAGTCACATGAGCAAGACAAAAAAAACGGTCTTAGCATCTAAATGAGTGAGGGACAAACATCACAGTAACAGCTGAATGTGCCTCCTATTAATTCTGAGCAAAAATGAAAATTACGACCTTGAGATAGCCATCACCCAAAACTTCGATAACTGTTGCTGGCCGTAATTCTTTCCAGGTATCTAGTGGATCCAATACTTCCAGCGTCATTCCCTCCTTCCACATTGCGCCATAGTCCTTTCCAGGATTCAGTGCAGCGTATGTCTTGAAATACCACGGAGGTGCATCATGCTCATCATACAACACATAGTGTGAATTCTGAAATCCGTAATACCATGGGATTCAGAGATGCTATCAGTCTTTATAAGTTCTGGTTTAATATAAAAAACATCAGATCAGCAAAGAATAAAATTAAAAATGAGCAAAAAAAAATTATTAATTTTCCAAAACTATTCTCTCAAAATGTATTTTGATTGTGTTTTGAAAAAAAACCACATGCTTTTTCGCTAAAATTAGCATCAGTCTAGCGACAGCAAGAGAGGGTAATCGCGCCCAAAATGAAAAGTGCCACACAAGTTTATCAAACAGCTCGATAAAGGATCCGATAAATGCAATCGCTAACAGGCACTCTTTTAGAGCCTGAGTGATACTGCCTTCCAAACAAACAAACCCCCAAAAAACATAATCAACGTTCTCTTTCTTTCATAAAAGCACTTGATAAAGTAAACTAACTGCAATTTAAGACGAGTAAACGTTACAGTATTTTATATTGAAAAAATCAGAAAGAGCCATAGCAAGAATGAACACTTTTTCAGTAGATGGTTTTGCATTACAGGTACTTAGTTCCGGTTTGAGTGAGCGAAACCAAATTACTGTTGCTAATTAGTACTGATCAGTTCCGAAAAGCAAAAAAAAAAAACAGCAATACATTTATCCAGGTGCTCGCAACAGTCTTTGCATGCTTTTGGTAATGTGCAGTTGCACACAATTTGTATCCAGTTCTGTATGCCCATCCGACAGGAAAAATCAGTGGTGAGTCCTGATCCATCCAAACTCCCTGGCTGATCTGAAAATCACAGAAAAATTCCGGATAAAACACACCAACATACACTCATATCAGCATATCTGTTTGTTCATTTTGTTACAAAAACCTCTTTTGGAGGATTTTCACACGGCACTACTCCTTCGCTTCTTATTATCACATGTATTATTTAGAGGTCTAAGTTAAAACCCCTACCGTATTCGCTCTCTCTGAGAAGTGAAGGTTCCTGGAAGCAGTCTGAATGGTAGCGCGTACCAACACTAATCTCTTACTGGGAAAGATTAATCCCGCATTGGCAAGCATTAATCTTACACTGGCAAAGATGTCCCGACCAGGAAGCTGACAGGGATCTCGACTCTATGGCATGTTAGAGTAACAACACACCATCGGAAAGAATGAACAAATCGTAAGAGTCCCAATGAGTCAAACTTTTGACTTTCAGCAACATGAGTAGCACTATTTGCAATGTGGCATGCATTCTAGCAAAATATATTATTACATCTCATTAACTGACACCAGCTAAGGCAAAGTTGCACAAAACACACTGTTTTAATGGGTCCACATAAAATAAAAGTTTTTAACTGTGTTAGAGACTGACCTGATCGTCGTCAACGTGATCCGCCGCAGTGACGCAGTCCGCCCTGACACGGACCAAAATCCGTCTCCCAATTACGTCCACCACTCGTGCTGGCAGTACTCGCATCGAAACCAATGCATCCAAAAGCTCCAAATTATCGCCAACCTAAATTCCTTGTCTTCTGCAAACATTCTTACCACATCATCGGTACAGCAGCTCCCAAAAAAAAACAAGCATTCCTCCTCCGAGCATTCCACAGCGACTCAGCAGCAGTAAGTGTAAAATTCTGCCATTATTCGTTGTTTGAACTTTTGTCCTTCAGTTATTTTCTCTCAGACAAATGTTTCATCTGTGACTACTTCTGTCTGACAGTTTATTGCTGGGACCTCCACACTGTCTCTGCGATTTTATAAATCAGGAATGCTGCCCAATGATGCAGCCTCACCAGGAAACAAACTATACACTAGCAGGCTGGCCAAAAAAGAAAAGAGGTAATGCAGCACTGGTGAATGCAAACAGAAAAGTTGCCAGCTGCAACGACTGGAAACCAGACCAACAGAGCTAACTCAAATATCCAGGCGTAAAACTAAAAATGCTATCATAAATTATTAGTGAATACTACGAACTGCACATATACAAAATAGGCACCAACCACACGCATGAAACATCGATTCACTCCGTTTCTGTACGTTTCTATTTTAAACATTTGTTAAAAAAAAAATTTCTGTAAAAATAAAAGATTAACAATCACGCTACCTTGAATTTGCAAAATCTCAGCTTTCGGTACTGAATATCTGGCCAATCCACCGTAAGTGATTTTCTGGCACGAGGATTATTGACGCAATATTCGCGCCAGTCATTCCGTCGTGAATAAATTTCCTCCGGTGGTGCAAGTGCACGAGATAATTTGTCAGCAGAACAATATCCTAAACGAAACTGCAAAATTTATAGGTCAAATTACAGACGAGTTCAAAGCCTTCCTTCTCGCCAGACAGAGCAAGGTAACGTAACACCTTCTTCAGTCACCGCTAGACGAGCTCTTAAAGCAATACTGCTATAGTTAGCCCACCAATCTTTGGCTATTCTTGGTCATACATCCTCTTTTATCTTAGCAGCGCTAATATGTTACACATTGCATAAAAAGGCATATTCAACACTCGCGGTCAACTACGATCCAACAAATCCGCTCTGGGTTGTATGCTGAAGCATTACCTTCCTTCCAGCACAATAACTTTTCTTCAACACTCATCACATCCTTACGCATAATAAATTTTACTAATTTGCTAAGGCAATTTTTTTGTGCTCTTTTTAGAGCACAATTTCACATCGCGAAAATTCGTGTTGGGTGGGCTGTTGTTTCTGAGGATGAAATAACTTGCCAAGAGGTTTGAAGTCCCTGG